AGTCGGGCGAGTTGCTAGTTAAAAGTGAAGAAGTTATTTTGACAATAATAAATATTTAATATCCGTTCAAAATAGATAACACGAGCTAATTCATGTTAATACAATTCATATTTCATTACGTAATTTATTGTTAATTTTGACTTAATCCATAAAGTATGATGTAATCACGTATGAAATAAATTGCAATTCTGCTGTTCTGGCCATTTTAAATAATACTATTTTGCTTCTTACTATTATAAAAAAAACGGGTTTCTTTTATTTCATGAAAAATAGTAATTTCAATAAATCACTACATAGTATAACATAAAGTCGTTTCCTCTGTGCCTACATATATCCCTATTAACTCTTAAATCTTCAAAATAACGCAACGGATTTTGTTTTTTTATAAAAAGATCGACTGGGGTTTTTTTATAACATGTATTTGTATGCATAATAACAGAAAATATTTATTTACAGAGAAATTTAGAATCACCATTGCATCCGTGCAAAGCCGAGGCGGGTCGCTAGTAATAATACATAATTTCTGAGTACATAATATGTCTAAAGTGCCTATCGCTAGTCAAAGGTTTTTTTTCTAACGAAAATGAAATGAGCATTATTTATATCGCGTCTTCTATCCATGTTTAATTCCAACAGTACAAATGCCTTATCTTTACAACAACGCACTTGTTACTACTCTGACGTTGCAGGTATCTTAAGACGGTGCCAATTAGGTGAAAGTTAGCCGCCCAATCCTATAAAAATACAAGTCTAGGTATTCACGATACTTTTTTCACCACATGTCGGTGATATCTAAATAATAGTTACCAAATTTCGAACCATCGCGCTCAGGAACTGGGCGGTCATTATAACATACACACACATCCTGTTTTCATCGCTTAAGGCCAATCCTATGATATACATATTGGCTTGCTCTGAATTCAATTGTAGGGTCCGATATTATCAATATGCATAAAATATATACATAATAGTACATAAAAAATATAACGAACGTAGATTAATTGTATGATAATAAGGTGCTACTTATTCTAACCATCAAAAAATGATGGTTTGTATCAGTACACCATATTATGTCACTGAATTGAAGACATATTGAATGTAGAGAAGGTACGTTAGTTCCTCAAATCGAAATTAAAAATTTTGGTTTCTTCCATTAGTAAACAGAGTGATATAAATTGGCGACCGAATTTCAACAGAGGCGATAGCTGGGCATTGTGCATGGTGATGGAAAATATATACAACACACGTCGTCGACGCTTCAGATTAGTAGAGTCAATTAATTTCTAACTTACCTACTTATGTATGTATTGTATATTTTATAGGTATATAAAGTGATAGGTACACTCTGCTGCAGAGAAAAGGATCCCCCAGGATGCAGATAGCATACATATTTGTACTTCAGGGGGAGGGGTCCATTTCTCTGCGGCTGACCGTACTATTGTGTATTATAGTACCTTAGTATAGTACATTAGTACCGTTTTATTTTATTAGAAGGAAGGCCTTCGTTGCCTGGTGCAACTAAATAAACGTAACGTAAAGGTATATCTTGATACCCTGTTAAAAAGTTAAGTCTCACGGGTATCTACGACGACCTCTTGCAGTGATTTGCTTATTATATGGATAAAAGGTCAATCATTGGCACCGAAAAACAATATGTCTTTTCGGGTAAATGTGCCTAGCAAAGAGTCTTAAAGATCCTTACGTGGTGTGTATTGATTTAACCTAACCTTACTTTCATATTGTGACTTTTAAATACATTTTTATTTCTGTGATAGGTCAGCATACAAGCAGACAGATTACCTTTTTTTTTGTCAGGGGAAAATCATCAAATGACTTCTCCCGCCAAAGGTAAGGCAAGAGAGAGTGTCAGACTCTTACTGACTAAAACCCCCGTTCCTTCTCCTGCTCTGGGCCGAGGCCGCGGTGACTCATTGCGCTTAACCCGCAACCCCGAATTACCTTTACGTGACTTTTAAATACACTTTATTTGTCTGATTCATCAGCATAGATCGATTACCTGATGGTAGCAATCTGCACGAGTTCCGAATGCATTTACAGTGTGGCCGACGTATCTTGGCGAGTCTGAAGTTAGCCGTTTGTCTGCGCAATGGATCTTTTAGGAACAAAATTGTGTACTGCGCAGCTAATCGACTAACTTCAGACTTGCCAAGATACGTCGGCCACACTGTAAGCGCGTACCTTTTGGAGATAAGGGATTTCATATATTTAGGGATTAAGGAGGTGTAACGGTTGGGCCCCTGGTAACGCCACTCACACGGCGAAACACAATGTTGTGGGTGTTGCACGCCGTTTTGCTGTAAAACCGCAATATCACTATGGTCTATCTTCTTTTTTTATAGAGTAGGAGGCAAACGAGCAGACGGATCACCTGATGGTAAGTTTTCGGCGCCGCCCATGGACACCTGCATCACCAGAGAAGATACAGGTGCGTTGCTGGCCTTTTAACAAGGAGTACGCTCGTAGCTAACCCATTCCTGTCGAAGCTTGGAACTCTTACTACTATTTTGATTTAACCCTTTTTTATTTATTATGGAAATCTTTCTAGATTGTTAAGATGTCCTTGGAAATAATTTTGTTTTTTTTTTTGTAAAAAACACATGCACATGTTTACATGATGCCTTTTCTTTTCTTCATAATTGAACTTTGTTCAATTAATACCATAGTTCATAATTAAACAAATTATTTCATGCAGGAAGAAAAGGAAAAACATAATGTATGTAAAAAAAAATCAAAATTATTTTCAAACGTGAGGACTTGAAACTAGCTGAATAGAATTTATAAATTTTGTTTTTTTAAGTCTGCGTCGGCGTACACTCTGTAGCACCTACTGTGGACTGAGTCACACACCAGGTACAAAATATTGTTCACAATACTGGTTTCGCGTCGACCGGGACCGTTGTCAGGATCTAAACTAAGTACATATTTTGTTGAGGGCGTTTTGTATGAGGGGAAAAATCATCAAACGACTTGTTCCAACCAGAGTGGAACGAGAGTCAGTGTCGTCAGACTTTTACGAACTGACCTACGCCTCCCACCCCTTCCATCTCTTACTCTAGGTCAAGGCCGTGGTGACTTATTGCGATTGCCCCGCAACCCTGGGTGAACATCAGCCCTATTGAGGGCTGAAATTACTAAATGACCTTTTGTGCTTTGGTTCAAGTTAGTACTTAAGTGCCCGTTGGTAAGCAAGTCGACCTTACCAACATGGCCACAAATAGCATCGCTACCGGTTCAGATAGAAGTGCACTTAATATTACTAGTAAATGTAGGTCCCTAGTGATAGGCCTGAAATTCGTCGAGTTATTTCGCCAAACATTGAAGAGTAAGTCGCTAAACATAATAAATTAATTCAATATATCTCACAAATTTTATAGTTTTTATTTATACTGACTATGTACCTACTATAAAGTATTGTTTTCTATATCACCATGCATAATGTTATATAGAGTTATCGTTGCTGTGTTTGTCTCGTTGGATTCTAGATCTACTGAAACGATCTCGAAAATTATTTTACCAATAGTAAAATACAGTACTGTGCAGTTTCATAAAAAATATTATGAACCGTAATTTAAAAAAAAATACTTAAATTTTAAACAAATTAATAACATTTGTAAAAAGTTCGTGCCAAGCCTATTTTCTACAGATAGCTCACGATAACTACTTTACTGGTTAAAATGTGGATAAAAATAATTAATTCTTGCCTGAAGCTCATTTAGCCTATTTATATTACGTAATTTATATCTTTATAAATATTGTTTGTTAAAATGAAATTTTATCTTAACATCTTCAAATATGGCAAAAAAAAAATCGGGGAATGGTCTCTTACGTCTATTGTCGACATATCCTCCAATTTTACGCAACGGGCGTTGACGTGCAAAATTATAATTAGAAGCAAGGTAATACACGGGCTTTCGACAAATTTATAGTTAACACTTATATAATTGTTTATTTTCTCAACAACTTCGTTTGTTTTGTTTGTTCTATCTAATTTACCTTCAATGTAGGCATTCACTACACAAAAAAAGAAAACAAAAGATACAAACAAAAAAACATCATGAGTATTTTTTATTTATTACAAACTTTCAATCTGAATGCTCAGGACAAGTCTGCGGCCACTGCAAGCATTATCAGTATTTTTCGTAAAGTTTTTGACACTAATAATGTAGGTATTATTAGACACTTAGCTACAAAACTAATACATAAACATCTTTATCATAAATAAAACATCACTGTCAGTGTTTATTTAAAGAACAACATAATAAAATATGTAATAAAATTGAAAACAAAATATGCAATCTTGAACAAACAATAGAAATATAAAGGCATTACTATGTACGTTACAACTTTCAAAATTCTTTGCTTTTTGCGTCCGTATAAAGTTCCACGTAGCCCATCTTTTACAATGTATTTTCTCAATCCAAGACACCATATTAAAATGTATTCAGACCATTGTATCTTCGTTACATCAAAATCAAAAATCTCTCGGTCGTCTTCAGAAAGACTGCTAAGAAGTGTAACCGTGTTTTGATCCTCAAACTTCCAATAATGTTTCATGAAATGTGACAATGCTACTTTCATTTTACTCAATTTTTGAGCTAATTTCCCAAATCTGAAATACAAAGGAATAAGTAAATAATTTAGATATTATTATCACTTAAATTAAATTGAGAGTATAAAAAACAATGTTATTGTCTGGCTTGATGGCTTTTAGCACGCGAAACACGATATGCTATATGTTTTATTCTGGTTCCGATCAAGTGGCAAATTACTTATGTTTGCCGTCTGCAAACCCGCTCCAAAATTGTCACAAACTCCCTGACGTCCGGACCTATGACAACTAGAACGTGAAGAGTATTGTTTTCTCACACTCCGCTCATAGTCCTTATTGATCTGGACTAGGGCCTTAACCATGCCCGGGCGTGAGAGGTCACTGGCTCACTGCAGGCTATAGCTTCTCTTAGGACGTAACAGTGCGCAACCTAAGCAGGACACACCGCCACCGTATAGCATATTCCACTATGTCCTTCAGGTGGTCCTTGCAGTGACGATACCCACGCGGTTGAGATAGGCAATTTCCGAAATTTTCATGTCCGGTTTGCACCTACTTCAGGCCAGAGGAGTGGATACCCTAGCATCTCTCTTGCCATTTGTCAAAGAGTGGACTCACCTAGTGACTCAATATTATAGAGCTCAATCTTATATATAAATACCTTCTTTTATTTCCGAATAGAACACTGATTGTGTCAATCGTGTATGCAGGTATAAGGTGAAGAAGCCAGGAGTAGATCCAAAATACCAATTGGTTAGAGGTGCACCATGCAAAAGTGTAACCCACGGCCTGTGGTGTAGGGAATTTCCTTCCTTCTTTAGCCATAATAATTTGCAAATCACCTTCGAAAAATTAAATAAAATTAATAACATTATAAATGGTCTAAAATTATTAGGTATATATATAAACATACAGATACATATTTTCACGTAATTCAATATAAAATTTTAAAACTTCGTTAAACTTTAGGCTCAAATATACAATAAAACTCACTCCAAGTAACTGGGTTTCTAGACCTTGAAGACACTACATAAATCTTGATTTCATTTTCTTCTGGCGCTGAACTTTTTAATCTAGCCGTCTCCCATGCAGCAGCGAGAATGGTGTTATTCACATAGTCCACGGGCACTAAATCAAGTTGATTTGAATGGTTACCATAAGCCACGTGAGATACCCCAAGTCCGACAGCGTACATATACTGAAAATTGGAAATTATATTACGTTGTTGTTTAAAGATGTCTCAGAGACTGGACATGGAACTGCAAAACTTACCCCGCTGGCTCCATAGATACAAGACTTGTCCACCCACCCTGGAGCCGGCTCTCTAATTGTGCACGTCACTGAAATGGAAACAAAAATAATAAACATACTAAATGTACAATATGCCATTGATGTCTCTGGCAGTAGAAGGCTCATCCATGACCTTGAGATAGGTTTAGCTAATTAATGTTGTGATGAAGGATGCTAATTTTCTTGGACCTTTCACCTATGGAAGAAAGTATTTTCCAGAGGATGGTCGAGAGACAGAATCTGTTTAATTTATAATCCAACCATCGAAGTTGATGGTATTCATATATCAAAAACAAAATTGATGATTAATTTTAAAAGTTGAAAAGGCAAGTTAAAAAGGTTGACGGAAGTAAAAAGGCAAGTATTGCACTTTTTACCACCCTAAGATATTAAATAGAAAAATAAATAACAATGTTAATATATGGATATTATTATAGCTTATTAAGACTTGGAAACGATTTTAAAAACTATTAATGCCTTCATACATGTAACAACAATAACAAAAACAACTTACCGACTGCTGGTCGGACGACACATATCGGGAGATCTTTGCCCATTGTATTAACTATATCTTCAGCAATAGCTTTTGTGAATGTATACGTATTAGGCCAACTTTTTATCAATCTAGAAAAATAGGAGACAGTGTTATCTTTAGGTTGCATTGCATTTTTGGACATGATATTATAAAGACTTATTTTAGTTTGCCCTAACGATGACTGCATATAATGTGGTGTGTATTCAAATTTATGATAATAAGTTCGATGTTGACAGTAATAAAATTAAAATGTGCCTACATAATGGAGGGAAAATTTCCGCATTAACTCACTTTGTTGTTATGTCTATTATTCTTTCTTCTTCCATAGTTTCAGCTATGCCGATCATGGTTTCGGGGCTAACTGGACTAGGAGAGAACTTTTCAAGTACTTCACCATACACATATTCATCGCGTGCATGTGAAAAAGCTGTTGATACGTAAACAAAGGACCTAAAAGAAAAAGGAAATAGACAAATTTAAATGTGGGAGAGCTATGCTTCGGCACAAACGGGTCGGCTCGACCGGAGTGATACCACGGCCTCACAGAAAAACAACGTGAAACAACCACAGCGTTGTGTTTCGCCGTGTGAGTGAGGTTACCGGAGGCCCAACCGTCCTTCCCCTCCCCCAATCCCTGCTCAATCCCTAAATGTCCAAAACCCTAATCCCTAAAAGGTCGGCAACGCACTCGTAACTCCTCCGTTGCGGGTGGCCATGGCGCTGATTGCTTACCGTTAGGTAATCCGTCTGCTCGTTTGCCGACCTTTTACATAAAAAAGCAGGTTCTAACTTATTTCATTATGTTGCCAGCAATAATTTTGAGAACATCAAAGAGCTCAAATAATCATTAAATGTTTCTGAGTACAAAAGTCAGTGTACCAACCTCAATTTTTTACACGCTTTGCCTAAAGTCACTATTTCTCTTGTACCACGAACATTGATGAAAGTAGCTGTCTTAAGAGTTTCGTCGAATCTTGTCGTAGCAGCCAAATGGAATATTAGATCAACCTGAATAAGGAAGAATTGTAATGAAAACTTGACGAAATATGTTCACAAAAAATAGATTTTGGGTCTTGTTCGTTTTCAGCCATTTGTTTTGGTAATGAACCACTAAGGGGGAAGGTTGGCATTTTCCTTTTTTATAGGAACCCTATGACTATAGCTAAAACATCATCAAAAGAATTATCTAGATCCGTCTATCCGTCAAGTGATGCTAATCACAAGGAAAATTTAATTTATTTTTATTAGATATAGATCATCTGGGGCTGGTGTTTACTTGGCTAGTAAGTTGGTTAAATACCCAATCATATACACTCTGCAGATTTAATAAGATAGAACATTATCTTATACTGTACTTTATTCTGAGTAAGGTATGCAACAAATAAATATTTTATAACTGACCTCATCGGCAATAGTGTTCCAGTCTTTTTCGCTCAAGCCAAGCTTTAGTTCCGATACGTCTCCTGATACGGCAACTACTTTGTCAACAAAATCTGGCTGCTGTTCTCTTAGCTTGTCATACAACTGGAAAATATACATTTTTTTTTATTAATTATTAATCAAATTATTATTTTTGCACCTTAAATCATAAGTAAATCCTAATCTAACATAACTATTTATTAAGACATAACTGGTGAAATGTGGATATGACCTTTGATGTTTCTTGGTTAAAATTGATTCCACAAAACAAATCTTTGGGTGAAACACGAATTGTTGTTTCACCCAGATATGAAGAAAAACTTATAGATATTACAAATAATTCCTTCAGGTCGGGGTGTGATCGGTATGTGAATTAATTAGTATATTAGAAAGTAACAGGATGGAGCAAGGTTTATTTAAAAAGCAATAAATTCAAACATCACTTATTTCAAGAGTAATTTTTTAAATTAATTAATTATAAAATATAAGAAGTAAAAAAATTTCAATTTGTTGTTTGTTCTATTATCTAGTGAAGCTATTTGCTCGTTCCAAACTGTTATAGATTCCTTTGGAAAGGAACGAACAAGAAACTCCATGTTTACACTTTTTCTCAATCACAATTTACCATAGCATCTTCGTTTAACTTACTAGGGTATCAAAAAAGAGATATTATATTATTCATTGTTAATTTACAACTTACAGGATCTTTCAACGTTTCCTCTAGTCTCTGCTGTACAGTTTTTCCTTTTTTGCATCTCAGTAAGACATATATCTTAGAAATTTTAGTGGCTCTGTAAAACAAACGAAATTCGCAATTAATAATAATACAATATAAAAAAAATACAATATGAATACAATATTAAAAAAATATGGTATTCACTTTGTTTTATACAGGGAAAACATACCGTAACAGTTTTTCAATGAGTTGTTTTCCAAGAAATCCAGATCCTCCAGTCATGAATGCAGTTGATCCATGGTAAAACTGCTGCACGCTGGATGTTCCACGAGCAGTTATCTCGTGTACCGGCTTAAACCGTTCAGTTATCTTCGCCATAAAGGCTTGCGCTGGATCCAATGATTTCATTTCCATCACGATAATGCTAAAAAATACTAGGATTTAAAAGTTTTTCACGAAACCACTTCATTTATAATCCTAAAATAAGTTTGAGCTACAGTATTAAAAAATAATCATTTATTAATTTTTTTTTCTTTAAACCCATTACATATTTTTTATTAAGTTTTTCTTTTGTTTTCATTATAAATCAAAATTAAATAATGTTCTTCTCAACCAATTATTTTAATATTTTTTATCCACACTATTTATTTCAAAAAAGCACTCACGCAAAGTAAAATGTACACAACAACGTTGTCCGTTTTAGCACTGATCAATAATGAAAAACAACAATGAAATTCGTTTCAACAAATAAATTATATAGTTTACATGTTAAAATCAATTACACATTCATGAAAAAAAATAGGTATGCAAAAATAGACGCGTGACTGGAGAAATAAATAATATATTGGTACAACAGTTTCGATTATAACACTTGTATAGTGTGAAGGAAAATACGTAGGTTCCAACACAAAAAAAGTCAGCTGTTACCTACCTAAAATTTTATAAACGTCTAGATATTTGGCTAAGAAAAACATCTTCACTAACACTAAGCAAAACGTGTATAAACTACACGAAAATTGCATTTTCTTATTGAAATATCTTTTTTTTTTTAAAAAAAACGTTGCCCCACATTATTATTTTGTCCTGTGTGGCGGGTGCGGTTACAAACATTCAATTTCACATACACATGACACCCAGACCCGGCACAACAATTTGTGGATCACACAAAGAGTTGTTCCGTGCGGGAATCGAACCCGCGACACGTTGCATGACACCCAGTTGCCCAGCCACCGCACCAACCGTGCAGTCAAATATCCAAGTGTAAGATATGTACTTCAGACTAATCGCTTAACCTATTTATCTTTACGCTATATACCTAATAATGGGAGTTTTATTTTGACTACTTAATAGTCAGAACTATATTAGATAAATATTTATCCAGTTCATTATTGAAGTGACCGATTTTTTCGACTCCGAAGTAGCAAATAGCACTAACTAGCTGTGACTATGACCTCGACTACTTACTACTAGACTTCGCCTACGCAAAAATTTGCTTTAATTTAATATAAGTATTATGTTAACGCATCTACCACTCACGACAACATCGTTGTTTGAAACACAGAGTATGTTTTTAAAATCAAAGTCAAAGTCAAAAATCATTTATTCCAACGTTCACAGGCACTTTTGAATGTCAAACAAAATTTTGAAGATATAGTGTCAGTCTGTCAGTCAGTCTTTTAGTGAAGCTATTTGCTCGTTCCAAAGTGTAGATTCCGATGGAGAAGAACGAGCAAGAAACTCCATGGTTACTCTTTTTAAATCAGTTTCACACACAAAATTTCTGTGAAGCTATTCAGGTTTTCAGGTCTATTTCCCATAAACATATAATTTCAAACAATAATCTCAAATTGTGCTTAATTTCAAAAAGTTAAGTTCGCATTTATAGCCAGTATAGTTTTATAAATTCATTAACCTAATGTCTCAGAATTTTTCGATTGGATGCACTGGTAAGTACATAAAATTAATAACTTAGTAGAAACAATATCCGAAGTAATTATACTCGCTCGATGTGGTCTACAGTTATGCCCTTTCCGAAATTCGAATGTCATTTTTAAACATTTAAAATTAATGTAATATCAAGGAGGACTCTAGCAAATATGGATAGGAATTCAGCAAAAAATGTAAATCCGTTTTTGACTCGATTTTGAAATTATTGTTTGTAAAATATTAATCAAATACCCCATTAAATATGTAAGAAAAAAAAACACATATAATTCGTAATTGATCAGATCAAAGAATCAATAAACTAGAACCATCTCTTTTTTTGGTTGGTTTTCTTGGTTGCGTTCTTATGGCTACACATGTCTTTATTAGTGATTTTGTTTGTGACAACTGAGTCGTCAAATGTTTTTTTTTTGCCATGGATGAAGCAAGAGGCTCAGTTGTTTCAATAAAGTTCATAGTTATAAATTTTATTATAATTGGACAACATATTTCTCTGCGAGTTATTTATTATAGACAAAAGCAAATTAAGTTTAAGTTAATGTACAAAGGCCTTTAGTTTTTCGAAAAATTAAATGTACTAGGAAGGTCAAAAAAACACCCACATATGTCAAGCTATTTGCATAATACGGTATTAATATGACAATCAATGCTTATATTCACAATGATGCATATTAAATTGGGGTATTTTTCTAGTGTTATACAGTACAAGCATTTTTAAGTATTACAATAATTATAATATGATGCACAACTTTATTTATTTACCCTCGTCAGATAATATTAGTGCCATGAAAGCTCGCCCTTTTGTTTTTTTAGGGGAGATACTCATCAAATCGATAAATCAGTTATGTTGTCTCCAACTATGAAAAAAGAAGATGGTCCAGACATCCTAATGTCAGAATGGCTGACCACTTTCTTTACGTGTTCTTTCGCAGTCAGTTGAGGTACTAAATATTAGAAGTTAGGTATCAAATAGTAGCAAAAAGATACTAAATTTTGGTATTTTCTAAACATCAAATATCTCTCTTGGTCCAGGGGTCCTGACAGTTACAAATAGCCTCTTTCACCCTATGTGGGCCAAGAAATAGTGTCGGATTCTCACTGACTAAAACCATCCCGTTACTTCTCCTGCTTAAGAAACAACACCAGTTTTATAAATGCAGCTGGTAATACTACATATATTGTTGTAGACATCAAACAGTAACGTCATAAAGGAAAGGCATAAAAATATTGATGCAACAATGTTCCATACTTAATGAGGTGTTTTTATATTAACTTTTTCATTATCCGCATCTTAATGCAATAAAGCACGTACTTATAATTACAAATAACTATATCCTTTTAAGGGTTACATAGCTTAATAGACATACAGGTACATTTCAAATACAATTATCATCATCAATGTCATCATCATCAGCCGGAATACGTCCACTGCTGAACAAAGACGTGTCCCCCTTAGACCTCCACGTTAAACGACAACTCGCTTCCTGCATCCATTGGCTCCACGCGACTCTGGCGATGTCGTCAGTCCACCTGGCGGAAGGCCTGTCCACGCTACGTTTTTTGCTCCGTGAGCACCATTCGAGTACTTTTCGGACCCATCGGCCGCCCGTCTTTCATGCGACGTGGCCTGCCCATTGCCACTTCAGCCTGCAGATTCTACTAGCTACATATGGTTGGTTCTTTGGCAAATTTAAATACGATGCCAACAAATACGTTTACATGTTCTATTCTTTATTTTAAATAGTCAAAAGTTTTACTGTAATTAGTATAATTAAGACTGCGTCCTGACCGTTGGCGAGCAAAGGACTGATGCTTTTGAAATTTATTTTCATACGATTGTTACACAACAATGAATTTATGTGGGAGAAAGCTTTTATTTATTAAAAGGCACTAAATACTTATTGTGTTATAATTTTTGTTACACGTATCAAATTAGTTGAATATTACAGCTAACTGAAACTAAAAGTTGTATGCGATGTGCTATACAGAGTGCATTACGCATTTTAGGTCATGGCTTAAAACTGGCTGAAAGTTGTTCTTTTTTATAGTATAGATCAGCCAACGAGGAGACGGATTACTTAATGGTAAGCAATCGGAGCCGCCTATCCACACTCGCAACACTAAAGGAGTTACGAGGATGTTGCCGCATGGGATTTGGGGATAAGAGTTTCGGATATTTAAGGATTGGAAGAAGGGAGGAATTGGGCTTCTGGTGACCTCACTCACAAGGTTAAACACAACGCTGTGGTTGTTTCACGCCGGTTTTCTGTGAGGCTGTGGTCGAGCTGACCCATTCGTGCTGAAGCTTGGCTTGCCAACACTTTATGTTTGTACAAACCACAGAATATTTATGTTGTGTTTTTTATCGATCTTTCTCGACTTTTATTATTGCATATACCTAATGAAGATTGTATCGATTTAATCACACAACTGTTTGACGTAACAAAAACATTCAGTAATTTTCAGTGTTTCACAATGAATATAGTATGCCATGTAAATATACCGTAGAAGTCTGGAGGCTAAGGCTTTTCATGCATGAGGGTGCGGGTTCGAAACTTGCTAAGTCCCAATGTGACTTTTTCAGAGTTATATGTACTTTCTATGATTATTAAGACACCACTGACATAATGGTGAAAGAAAACATCGTGAGGATATCTGGGCTAATAAGTCTGCCTTGAATTCCGCGTGGAAGCGTGGTAATTAATGCTCAAACCGTGTGAGGAGAGGCCTTTGCTCAGCAGTGGGCACTTATAGGCTGATGATGTATGATGTACATATGTAGGGGAGTATCTAAATACATTAAAAAAAAAGAAACGGTTTTTTGCCGGACTACGTTCAGCACGTGATGTTAGTTATTCTAATTCGATGTTAATTAGAAGACCAATGCGAGTACAATAACATTTTTAACATGTAAAAATAAATGAATTGTACAAATTAATTAATTTGCATTGTATTTGTAATGTTTTAATTCTAATGCTATTTATATTACTTACATTGTTTTCGTGGTGACCTTCTTCGTGTGAGAAGAGGCCTTTGCTCAGCAGTGGGCACTTATAAGCTGATGCTGATGATGATGACATTGTTTTAAAATGATTTATTGGTATTTTATTACATAATCATCGCATTAAAACACCTGTATACATCTTCTATATTAATAAAAAAAAAGTGGATCGCCAAATGTTTTGGTGTAAGCGCATAACTTAACAACGACGCAACTAGTTTGTTAGGAGAAGGTTTTACGAAAAATATGACTAGAAAAGAAGAGAGAATTATTTAGAAATTCTTTCGTCATTAACTAGGTATTTCAACACCCGTGTAAAGTAAAGATCGGCCATTAATCACACGAACTGCTGGATTTCTCTGAACCACTCTTTAGTTCGAATCAAAACTGCAGGTGCAAGGGTCATAATTTACCAGCGCCTGGACCTGAACAGGAGAAGGAATGGCTGGTTAGTCAGTAAGAGCCTGACACTCCCTCACTCTCCTTTGAGGGCAGGAAGAACGATTAGATAATTTTCAGCCTCAAGAAATAAACACATTTGCGTTTACCATATTTTTATCTAAGTAATCAACAGAAAATTTAATTGAATGAACGTGACGAACAGCGTCACGCACAACAGAAATAATATTAATTGTAAATTTAGAATGTACTAGTAGATACACAACTATCGCTAATTATAAAAGTTGTTGTTAAAATAGCCTTAGCATCATAATTCAAATTGAATTGTGTTGAAAAACAAATTTGATTAACCAAGAAAATCACCGTATA